TCGCCGCGGGCCATATGGATATGAAGGAGATAATCCTCGATCCATACCGCAGGATCTATTGTGCCATCATATGATTCGATGTTTACGGGTTTGAAACCCTCGGGGATTTGATGATCCATTACTTCGTCTATGAAGCATAGTGGGTGTGCGGCACCTCTGTACTGGGCTATATCATGACGTAGCTCCAATGAACTTTGTCTACTGTGTTCGGCCCTGCCGGATTTGTGTCCGGGGTGACGGTTACCGTCTCAAGTCATGGGGCGCCCATGTGATCCGTAGATCGATCTTGTTTGCCTTGCCTTGTCCTCCAACATATCTCGCAGGTCAGGCGCATTTTCCCGTGCCTTGGTACGGGGTGCGGCTTGAGTGGAGGGCCGAGAGGCCTCTTTGTCGCGGCCACGAGGTGGCCGGTCGGCCGTATCAAGTGCTGGTGATGTAGGTTTAAGTGCTTCCTCCTCTAATCGAGGTAGCAACCTGCGCTTTGGATAGCTCTTGGAAGCGCGTTCGAGTTTATGCTCTTCGGCCTCAAGGACTTCAGTCCATCTGTCGACTAGCAAATTTTGATCAGCTCTAACCCGTTGCTATTTTTTCTTGAGGCTTCTTGCCGTGGGCATAAGCCTGCGTTGAAAATGCTCTTGCTCGACAGGATCCTCTGGCACGATGAATTCGTCGTTGTCGAGGCTTTCCTCGTCTTCGGAGGGAGGCGTATAATTATCGTCCTCGACCTCTCTGTCTGCCGCTCTCTCATGAGGGCTGGCTTCTCCATCCTCCTGTGCTGAATCTTGCTGGAGGGGGTTTTCTTCGGCACTCTCCGGAGTATTATTATCTCCCGTGTTGGAATCGCCGTGTTTGCTTTGGCGGGATTTTGAGCGGCGGCGCTGACGCCGGCGCTTAGGCTGTTTCTTGGAGGGGTCGTCCTCCGCTGTTCCATCACCATCTCCTTCTTTTGGGGTGTCCACCATGTATATGTCATACCACGAGGCGGCTTTCCAGGGCCCAATAGGTGCTGGTTCTTCATCGTCTCCTGCATCGGTGTCCATACCGTCGATGTCTTCGGAGTCGAAGTCGAGCATGTCGGTTAAAGTGGCTACAAAGCGGGTGGTGGGTGGGCTTTGAATTTTTTCATCGTCCGTATCCCAACCTTGCTGACCGTAGTCCGGCCAGGGCGAGAGACTTTAGTGTTTTCAGAATATCGCCGAAAGGCGAGTGCTGAAAGATGTCCACGGCAGTAAACTCCATGATCGGCGCCCAATTGGATTCGATCAGCAGGGGCGCGGAGGGTTCGGAGTCCGGAGAGGAGTCCGACTCCTTGGAGTCACGAGTCTCGCGGAGTGCAGGGCTGGTGTTCGGCTCGATCACCGTTGGGATCGCAGCCCCCGAGGCGGCGTCCAACCACCCATCCTCGATCGGCGCAATTGGCTCCGAATTAAGGGTCGAAGCCGATGCGGGTGCGGCCTCCAGGGCACTGTTCGGCGGTAGAGCTAGATCATGCTCGTCGTGACAGTGCGGCGCGCTCGGTAGTGGCTCGAATCCGTCGAGGATCAAGTCCCCGCGGATGTCAGCCGTGTAGTTTAAATTTCCAAATCTGACCTGACGGCCAGGGGCATAGCTTTCGATCTGCTCCAGATGGCCAAGTGAATTGGCCCGCAGTGCGAAGCCGCCGAAGACGAAGATCTGTCCGGGGAGGAATGTTTCACCCTGGACTGCATCACTATTGATGATCGTAGGAGCCATCAAGCCTAACGGCGACGACATAGAGGAACTCTCAATGAAAGCACCAATGTCGGTGTCAAAACCGGCGGATCTCGGGTAGGGGGTCCCGAACTATGCGTCTAGGCCGGATGGTAACAGTAGGCAAGGGACACGAACTTTTACCCAGGTTCGGGCCCTCTTGATGGAGGTAAAACCCTACGTCCTGCTTGATTAATATTGATGATATGGGTAGTACAAGAGTAGATCTACCACGAGATCGGAGAGGCTAAACCCTAGAAGCTAGCCTATGGTATGATTGTTATTCTGTATGTTATCCTACGGACTAAAACCCTCCGATTTATATAGACACCGGAGAGGGTAAGGGTTACACAAAGTCGGTTACAATGGTAGGAGATCTATATATACGTATCGCCAAGCTTGCCTTCCACGCCAACGAAAGTCCCTTCCGGACACGGGACGAAGTCTTCAATCTTGTATCTTCATAATCCAGGAGTCCGGCTGAAGGTATAGTCCGGCCATCCGGACACCCCCTAATCCAGGACTCCCTCAGGGCCCTCTATGGCCAATGGTTCACCCAGGCGCGGTGGCAGTTCCGGGTTGCGGTGCGGCTCCGGTCGTGCAGTTTTCGGTAGCATACGTCACACATGGGCGTGCTGGATGACACATGTGGTCAATCTGGTGGTCCAGCTGGGATGGTTACAAATTTGACAGCAAAAGCTTGGTTCGGCCTTGGCCAGAACTGTCAATGGCGGCGCCTGCGTGTGCCGTTACCTCATTGGAGGCGTTGTTGCGGCGATTCACGTTCCCTGTATGCCCCGGGGGAAACCCCGGATTCGGGCTTTTCCGAATCAGATGATGGCGAGGTTCCTGCGTCGTCACCCCCATGGGTCGTCACCTTTGGGGTGTACATCGTCTGGAGGGACAAATGTTTGGCTTGGTGGCTGCGGGCAGGTCTCCGTATGCTTCTTGTGTGGTGACCAAGGTGTTGCAGCATGCCATCTATAGTATTGACGATAGCGAGTCTTGGTGAGAAGGTGCAGCGGGGTCTCGGCACTCGATACCGTTTGATGGGCGCACAGGATGCTGGCGTCGTGATGACGTTGACAACAAAAGGGTCTGGCAAGATTAGTGCATTGATTGCTCCTGAAGACGGGACTGCGGAAGAAGGCGGTGACAGATTCAACAGCATGCGCATGTGGTGCATGCTGAGGTCTTGCTAGACCTGCGAGTAGCCGGCGGGTGGTTTGGTGAGGCCACCGGATTTCTTGGTGTGCATGGCGTGAGGTCAGGGCACATCATTAATCATGTAGGTAGGGCGATAATTTTTTGCCAGAAGGGTGTCTTTGAGTTGATCTATGTATTTATTTTGTAATGCCTTGTTGAATAATGCAATAAATATGGTTGTGTGCATCGCGCGATGCAGAGGCTGGGGTAATCCTCCGTTTCAAAAAAAATCACCGCAAAGTGTCACATAATATCTCTGTTTGTTTTCAATGACGGTTGTCATTGTAATATCTTCTTTGCTTTTTTTAATGATGTAAAAGTGATGCCTTTATCACAAGTTTACATTAGACATTACAATGACCCGACAATCACAAAAGGAAGAGGGAGAAGAAACTATCTTGGCATGAGCACCTGCCTTTGCACCCCAAGAGGAGGAGATGGGGATGGACCACATATGAACTCTCGATGATCTAGTTCCCTTTGTGACCTCGTATCCTAATGTTGGTTCTCCTAAAATTGCACTCCTATTCTTTTAAATTAATCAAAGTTATAGGTGTGCTATAAGATCTACATCATAAAATATACATGATATGAAAATATATTTTATGGAGAATATAACTACAAGAATTTGATGTTGAAGATGTTGATTGTTTCTATGTTGATATATTTCATAGAAAATTGAAGGCGTCATCTATGTCTAAGGCATCTCCAATGCCGACCCTTAAATCGGACATTATATCCTTCCATGGACTGGTGGGGACCAGTCCACGGACACTAATACGGGAGCCGGCCATCCAACCATACCAACATATATTCAAAAGCATATTTCAACAAACCGAATGAAATTCGTCCGAACCGGATGATTTTCATATAAATCGGAGCACATTAGTTTCATTTTTGACCCTTTTCATTAAAAAAAACAACCGGATCTAAACCTAGCCTATGGCGGCGCCCGTCCTCCACGTCCTTATTGTTCCCTTCCGACGATCACCGGGCCCAACTCGCCGTCTCCATGAGCGGCGGGAATTAGACCCGTGAAGTGAAAATGTGGTTGCCGGCGAGGAAGAGTAGGACATGGGAGACGGACCAACCCACTTTGGACTTGAGGCCCCGTCGCCTCCCATGCACTACTCCTCCCCATAGGAGTCTTCGACCTGCCCGTCGCCGGTGGACGTGCGATCTACGATGGACGGGGACGGGGCGGCACGCTCGTCATCCCACCCGCATCGACAAACGTTTGTTGGCGGCGCGTAAGAGACAGAACTGGCAGCGTTCTCGTTCGCAATCGATTGCGCCGCCAGTGCCGCCTCCTTGTCAGACAAGGCCGTGACCGCGTCCGGCAGCGTCGGGACAACGTTGCGAGCATCGGCTTGAGCGTGCGCGGCCTCATAGAGAGCCCGCTGCTCAGCAATGAAGTTGGGATTCGTCACGACCATGGCCGTCACAGATTCCTTGCTCGCGTGCTTGCCGTAGATTTGACCCTCCGCCAGTTGATACTGCTCGAGGAGGAAGAGATTGTACCGTTGCTCCTCCCGTGCTTGCCGGAACACCGACATAGGCGCCGGCACCAACTATTCCTCGGCCATGGCGGTGTTGAAGTGTGCCTACACCTACTCCATGATCAAGCCAGCATCGAGCGGCCCGGGCACGGGCCCGAGTCGTCGTTCAAACCCGTCTCCATCCTGGGGTCATCGTCGGAATCTTCGGGGAGCTGGCCGACATGGTAGCCTCTATTCGCCACTTCCCGGAGCACGGGCTTAGCCCAACCACATCATGCGGTGGCGATGAGAGGATGCGAAGGAGAGGAGTGGCTGCGGCGGTTTTTGGCGCCTTTAGTTACAAAGGGTGTAGTCTGAGAATATTACTTCTATACTTCTTAATGAAAGTCAACGTTCCTGACAGTTACTTGGAGAAAAGAGAAAACCAATGTATTATCACATTTTCATATTAACATATCAGATTATTATTTCTACTGCTTGCGCAGGACATTAACTATAGTACACAGTACATATAATACGTCTGATCTGAGTGTAATCCGGAGAAGATTTGGAACTGCCTCGAAATCAGCGGAAGATGTACACAACAAAGAGCACCAAAAACACGAGCAAGTGATCGAGCACGATCCCTTGTTCGCCAAAGGGATGGTTCCGGTCCAGCGGTGAGGTTATTTCCGGGAGCAAAGACAACCAGTTCGGATGGAGTCCGTCCACATTTCCATCGCTCGCCGCCGTCGAAAGTTGCAGTGGTGTTGACTGATTCGCCGTCATGGTGTCCATCACGGGACGGCGTAACTCCAGCCCTGCAAAACACAAACACATGTGTAAGTACGCTAGTCGATCGTACTCAAACCGATTGGCCAGCTCTTGGTGTACGATTGAATACTCACCGCCCATGACGAGCTTCCCGACGATGAACGCCGGCGAGGCCGCGGCTCTCCGGCACAGCAGCGCGGACGCCAACAGCGAGTAGGCGAGCACGACAGCTTGTGCCCTCATGGTGTTGTCGCTTGGCTTGCTTGTGCTTTCCCAGGTTGTAGGCTGCATGATTTGGTGGCTCACTCGCGTCGGGTTTATAAAGAGGCGGGAATTGGTGCTGCTTTGTTTTCGTGTCAGAAGTCTGTCCCGCTGACCGGACTTGATTCACCAGCAAGCCGCTTCTGACCAAGTGCCATGCGGTTCCTGGGTCTGCTGTATTTTCCTACTCGTGCTATGACGTGTGCAGGTATGGGCCGTTGGATTTGCCGCAGCAGGGCAGATGAGCGGCGGGAAGGGCCGTTGAGGAAGTCTGTCACGGTTGGCCACCATCCGGATTTATCCGGCGGAATGATTTTTGTCAAAGGATGCACGCTGCCCGGCAGGCTGGGAAGCAGGCCAGCTACTAGCGCACGCCACAACTAATGTGTGATGTATTTGTCGTCAGCTTTGTCAAAAATGATGGCCTGATATGTTCGTGGTCAGCTCCCGCAAAAAAGGACCTATTTATTACTCCTGGAATTATTTATCGGGACAGATAATACCCCATTCTAGGAAGGGCCGAGTTGAGTATGATAATTTAGAAGATATTCGCGCCTTTTTATTTCCCATCCTTAGTTTAAGTGAAAATATTTTTCTTTTTATTTTATGAATTTTAGGAACAAAATTTTCAACAAAGGGAGTCTATCACCAGTCAAAACAAGACCTGAGACTAATCTATAGTATTAAATAAAAATAAGATAATATAAGACATTATTGCTGTAATAAATTGCCCTGTCTTTTTTCAACAAAGTAGGCCCGCCGGTAATGTTTGTCGGATCATGTGTCCCGCATGACAGAATTAGAACTGACACGGCCGCGACCCATGTAGCACTATGTGCGTATTACACTCATGATATTTTTTTTCTGTCAATTTATCAACCAATCTTTTGTTTTAGTCATTTTATTAATATACTTCTATTTTAGAAAAAATAGATTGCAAGCAAAGGCACAGATCCATGGCACATGCATTTTGCGTTGGCGATTTCTTTTCGTTCAGCCTTTTAGCCAGAAGTTTCATTCACCTTCTTGCCTTGCGCTAGCTCTCGCTCTCGCCTAGCCCTCGCTTTGCGCTCGCCGTCGGTGGCCACTCCGGCCCCGACGTCCACCATCGCGGTCTCCCCAGAGCCCTCCCCTCTCCATGGCCTCACCTCCCGCCGCTGGGGCTGGACGCTCGCGCGAGCTGCGCTGGCTGGAGTCCAGCCCGTCCTTCGCCTCCCCTTCTCCACCCCGCGCTCGGCCGCTCTCCTACCGGTAGGCTCTCTGCGCTCGTGAGCCCGCGACCTCCGGGCTCACCCCAGAGGCCGCCGACGCCTCGACGCCCTGGCCGCCGCCTGCCCCGCGCCCCTGGCCCCGCTCCGAGATCCACCCGGCCTCCCCTGTTGGCATCGCCTCCGACGCCGCGGATGGTGGTGGCTGGTTGGTCGCCTCGAGCCGGCGTCGTCCGCGTCCTCGCCCCCGTCGCCCGCGCCGTCGTCAGGCCCCGGCCGCGGCGGCTCGCCCCTGCCCCCCTCCCC